CTTCATTCTGAATTTGAAACAAAAAAAGGCCTGAATTTTAGAATTTTGTGTGGAATGGAAATTTGAAAAAAAATAAAATAAAATCCAGTTTGAGACCATGCAAATGGTTTTGTTTTCAACAGCACAAAAACGTCTTCACTTCATAACTTATTTTTCATTACTTTTATTTTTTTATTCTATTTCCATAAACTCCTAAATCTGATGCGCTACAAATGGCATGATATTAAAATGCACTTTTTCTGTAGCCTTTTTTATGATGCTGAAAACTAAAACAAAACTAACGAAGATGAAAACAAGGAGTTGAGGGTGGTGGGGAGGAGAGGGCTGTTGCCTGCCTCACATGCAAAACAAATAAGATTAAAGGGATGTGGTAGGATTTACGATCCAGTCCCTCCCCTTTCAGTGCCAGCTCTGCCAGTGCTCCTTAGTCCCAGTCTCTAGCCCCTTATCATCCCCTGGCCATAGCCCATCCCCAGCTCTGCCAGTGACCTTTAATCCTGATACACAACCCCTTTGCTATACCCAACCTGGTCTCCCTTGCCTCCGTTTAGCTCTGCCACTGTTCCTGACCCCAGCCCCTAATTCCCCTGTCTACCACTGTCTTGAGCCTGAGACTTCTCCCACAGACCTACCAACCTCCTACTCAGTCCCAGCCCACTATTGATGGGGAAGAAATTAAAGAGTAATCCATGCTCAGCATCTCCAGACTCATCAGAGGGACCTCCTTCTCTCCAATTTCCTCCTGCAGAGAGCTCCCAATGCATCTTCTGTCCCCGGGAATGGCTGCTGCACAAGGGGAAATGTTACTGGGTGTCCAAAGAAAACAAAATGTGGAACAGCAGCAGCGACGACTGCATGAGGAGGAGATCTTTGTTACTAGTGATCCAGAACCAGGAAGAGATGGTACCGTTCATGTTGCTGTGGGGTGGTAGGGGAAGCAGTCCAGAATTAACAGAGGTCGCTGACACTGGAAAATGAATTGGATTCACACAGTGCGTGGAATTAGAGTGCATCGTTTATTCCTCAGGGTTTATCTACACAGGAATATACAGGGAAATTAATCCACATTGGGTAAAGGCATGCATTTTAAAGTGGATTATTGAAACCACAATGAATGCCAGTATGGACACTGCTCTTCAGAATTACAGTGGCCTTCCTTCAAATTACAGGTTTCCCTCAATCATGCAGGTTCTGTATATGCAAATTTACTCTTATACAATGAGCATATTTAGACCCATAATTCATTATATGCAAAGTAAATTTGCTCTTATGCAATCAGCATAGGTGCCGCCCCCCCACCCAAGCAGGTAAGTCTGTGAGGGGAGGGGAAAGGGCTGTGGCCCCACTTACCCCAGCCCTGGCTGCAGCGGTCCCAGGAGCAGCCGACACTAGCTGCCTGCACCAGGGCACAGTGCAGCCCAGCAGCTACAGGCAGCTGGCATTGGCCGCTCCCAGAGCCACTGCAGCCAGGGCTGGGGTGAGTGTTGCACCCCGTGCTGCCCGTGGCTCTGCTTGTCCACACTCACCCCAGCCCATGCTGGGGCAGCCCCAGGAGCAGCTGACACCAGCTGCCTGCACCAGGGCATGGCGCAGTCCAGGAGCGGAGGTGAGTGCAGACAGGTAGAGCCCAGGTACAGGGGACAGGCGGAGCACAGTGTAGCCCAGCAGCTACAGGCTGCTGGCGCTGGCCACTCCTGGGGCCTCTGCAGCTGGGGCTGGGGTGAGTGTTGCTCTGTTCCCTCTGCTTTGCTGCCTTGTGCAGCCCTGGGAGCAGCACCCCTCCCTCCACCCCTTCCCTAGTCCCAGCCTCCCTCCCTCCCTCCCTCCCCCCCTCACTGCCATGGGAACCTATCCCTATTTGTTACTTTGTAAAGTGGGTTCGCTTTATGCAAATTCAATGTACATGCCATTCTCCAGGAACACATGTACTGCATAAATCAAGGGAAACCTGTAGCTGTATTTGCTGTGGAAGTGCAGTAAACTAGACTGAATTAAGGCTGTTTTAACTCTGAATAGCAGTATCCACATAGGAGTTTAATTCATTGTCCACTTAGGAAAAAGTGATCCGAGTTCTCTTCTAGAATCTCCATTAGACAAGCCCTCAGTAATTCTGTGTGTGGACACATTCATTGTGGGATAAGAGTATCCACACATGAAATTGCTGGGGATGTGTTCAAGAAACACGTGGAGCTATGCAGGGGGAGGTGAGGTTATCTGTTCAAGAACAATCGGTAGAATTAATCTGATGTTGCTTCCAAATAGGTATTTCAGAATTACTATTCCAGAATACCTATTCTTATACAGCTCTGAGTGTAAGTAAGCCCTAAGATGAGAAAAATGAAATGTCACTCCTAGCAGCAAGTTATCAAAACTTTTGTTTAAAGATCAGGTGCTTCGGGTGCCAACATCTCAGTGACAATATGCTGTAAGGTAATCATATGTACGTGCATATGTTGGTGCTTGTGCCTTTGTCAACTGAATCAGATGAGTACTGGCAGTACTGACAAAGATGCCAGAGAATTATAGCCCAATTTATTCACCTAGGTGCCTCTTTGTATTTTACAGGGCTATATACAGACAATCACACAGGTGATAAATCCTATTTGGATTGGACTTCACTTTAAATCTCCTGAGAGGAAGTGGATTTGGATGAATGGCTCCCTGTTAGATGAAAAATTGTGAGTCTTTTCTAATGCATGTTTTTTTATGAGAGGAGACAGGGGTGTGGTGGGGGGAGAGTGATTTCTCTATATTGAGTTTATTCTTTTTGTTTGATTGTTTTTTACCTGTGTAACATTTGAAAAACATTAAGCACAACTTGCTCATTCAGGAGATACAAAAGTTCATATTTCATAGACTCATAGAAAGTTAGGGTTGGAAGAGACCTCAGGAGGTCACATCTAGTCCAACCCCCTGCTCAAAGCAGGACCAGCCCCAACTAGATCTTCCAGCCAAGGCTTTGTCTAGCCCGGTCTTAAAAACCTCCAAAGATGAAGAGTCCACCACTTCTCTAGGTAACCTGTTCCAGTGCTTTACTACCCTGCGAACGAGAAAGTTTTTCCTAATATCTAACCTAAACTTTCCTTGCTGCAGCTTGAGACCTTTGCTCCTTGTTCTGTCATCTGCCACCACTGAGAACAGTTCAACTCCATCTTCTTTGGACCCCCTTCAGGTAGATGAAGGCTGTTATTAAATTTTCCCTCAGCCTTCTCTTCTCCAGACTAAATAAGCACACTTCCCTCAGCCTCTCCTCAGATGTCATGTCCTCTAGCCCACCAAACCATTTTCGTTGTCCCCATCTCTGGACTCTCTCCAATTTGTCCACATCCTTTTTGTCGTTGTGGGCCTAAAACTGAACATAGGATTCCAGATGTGACCTCAGCAGCGCCAAACAGAGGAGAAGAATCTCTTCCCTTGATCTGCTGGCGATGCTCCTACTAATGCCGCCTAGTATGCCATTAGCCTTCATTGCAACAAGAGCATGCTGTTGGTGCATATTCAGCTCATTGTCTACTGTCACCCCCAGGTCCTTTTCTGCAGAGCTGCTGCTTAGCTAGTCAGTCCCCAGCTTGCACTAGTGCATGGGAAGCAACAACTTCTCAAACCCACAAGGGCTGCCTTTTCTGCCTGAGAAGCTCGGGCCCACACCAAAGCTTGAATTCTCAACCGCCTTGTCCCCAGCTCACCACAGAAGCAACTAAGCCGCACAACACTTCGTTTCCTCTGAAGCTATTGCAACAGGGGTGTCAACCATATGGCCTGTGGAGCCCACAGTCAAACGTGGCCCATGGAGCTCCTAGAGGGACAGGGAATTCAAGGGTAAGGCAAGTGAGTGTGGTGCCTGCCGTCACAATTTGAGGTACATATACTGGGGACACTTGTTGGTAGGAGAGGGTAGAAGCAATGCCTATATTAACCCCAACATCTCTCTAATTCAGCTCATTCTGCAGCTGCCACTCTGTCATGGGAGGTGGGTCTGGGTCTGTCCCACAAGTAGCCTCATGGTCTGGATCCTGCCCAGGGGGTCCAGGTGAGTTTGATACATTGGCAGCCTGTAGGGGGTGCATGCGGGTGCATGTGCCCCCCCAAGTGTGGCGGTGCACCCCCTGCGCAAAGGCATTGCCAACACTGCCGGCAGTGCCTGTGGGTGGTTGCCGCTTTCCACCCCCTTTTCCCCCCCTCCCCACTGATACTGCTGGAGGCATCTGCATGCAGTCTGCAATTGCCGCTGGCCACTGCCGACGCTGCCGGTGGCATCTGCGGGTGGTTGCCAACCACTGGTCGGCACTCACCAACCTCCCACCCCGCTGCTGACAGCGCTGCGGCTGCCTGCAGAAGCTTCCTGCTTACCACTGCCACGCTCCCACCGCCGCCAGCGCCACCGCCACCTGCAGGAGCTCGCCATGCCCCCTCGAGCCTCTTGGGGCACGTGGTGTTCGTGGTTTGATACCTCTGTATTTCAGAAATGAAAAACCTAAGCCTTCCAAAACCACAAGTCAGGACCCACTAGCAGATCTAGGAGCAGGGCAAAGGAATGCAGTTCCCTGACTGGCTGTCACGCATGTGCGGTGAATGTTGAGCTCGCTGCCTGGTCAGTGCAGACTCTTCCCGGAGCGCTGCATGAGCAGTGAGCTCTGAACTCATCAGCTGATTGAAGTGGGCTCTGGCCATACCTTCACAGGGGTATGGCTCTATTCACTCTTCCCCAGCCTCCTCTTCTGTACTGAATTCAGCAAGCAGTAGTAGTACTCATCCCCTGGGCTCGAAAACTGCGAAAGTAGAGGCTGTGGCCAGACACTGCACCAAAAGCTGACCTATGACATGACTAATGGCAGGGGTGTGACTGCACCATTGCATCCACTTCTGTATTCCCCTTGTCAGGCCCAAGAAGCCAAGAGACTGATTTAAAAATCATGAGGTAGTTAAAAAAAATCCCTGGGTTCTTTTGTGTCATATTGCAGAACTTGAGCATTTGGAGGTTCATGTTTTCAAGGTCTTCTTCCCAACCCGGACAACTAGAAACTTTTTGTTTTTCTTCTTTTAAATGGAAGTTTTTCTCGTGTAATAACATTTCCAGGAGCTGGGACTTAAAAGCAAAGACTCTCATGAGACTTTCAATAAAGCTGGAAGAGCCCACAAGGGAAATGTTGAAGTCTGCAACGTATCGTAAGAAAGGCTTGTGGGATAGCATGTATTTCAGAAGTTATGAAGACCAGAGCACCAAGTTTCAGTGTAATGGGTTATTTGGGTTCAGAGATCTCTTCTGAAACTGGATTGTGTGGTCTGTGCTATAATTTCACACTCTAGGAACTTAAACTAAAACTAGGGTTTACTTCATGATGTGGCTTCTCAACTTGTGGAGCACACAGTATGCAAGTAAGCTCTGGTCTACCCTTGAAATATATTTATCTGACTGTGTTGATTGGGGGTGTGACTTTTTACTGATATGCTTGTGTCATGATAAACTAGGGTGGTTATAATCATAGTTTATAAGTTGCAAATTTCAGGGAAACTTTTAGTCCCATTGTTGCAGGCTTACAAGTGAGCAAAAACCAAATCGAAACCAAATATCCTTTATTCGCTCTCTGTTGGCTCTTTCAGGGTAGTCATAGATGCCAGGATGCACAAATCCAAAGCTCTTTGGAAAACATACATCTTTATACATACCTTTTTCTTTGAACCATCTAACTGCAGACCAACATGTGCATGCACACAGCTAGATATTGTTTCTTTCCCATTCTTATCAATGCATGACCATTTCAATTGCTTTCCACATTCATTGACTGTCTGTCAACTTCCAAGTCAATCAGGAAGCTACATCTTGACTGAGAAGAGCGACTTAAATATAATCCAGTGAGGTAAAGCCACGGTTGGGCTCCTGGGACAGCTGACACACAGAAGGACAGTGGTGACTGATGGTTCCCACTACTGTTTGCACAGCTGTAGGTAGCTGCACATAGCTTGTTCTGCATTGTCCACAGGGCAGACAGAAGCGTAAGCATTTTTTATTCCATTTGGGATAACAAGGAAGGCAGGGAGGAATGCACCTTCCTTTAACCAGCTGCTTTACTTTTCTTTCTCTTTCTCTGGCTTCTCCTTTGGGTGGTCACTTTTCTAAACAGGGGCCTTGGAATTGAACTTGTGTCTCCTGGGGCCTCACCAGTCACTTAACCCCAGAGCCTCCCCTTCCTATTGAACATGCAAAAAAGAAACCACAGCTGCAGGTCCCATGAGGCTAGGGCAGAATGATGTGGGCAGGGGGGTCCGAACAAGCCAGCGATAACTTTCTCTTTCTCCCAGGTTCCCCATGCAGCAAGGTGGTGACAGGAACTGCGGTGTGTTGAAAAGAGACCAGACAGACTCTGAGACCTGCAGCACTGAGCTGAGATGGATCTGCCAGAAAGCTGCTCTCCTGGTATAAGCAGTGATGCTCTTGTCTGACCAGCAGCGTACACAAAAGCCCTCTAGCTTCCTCTGCTGCATCAAGCATATTCTAAGGTTGATGTGCATCTCTCTCATTCTGGAGTCTGGCACATCTCTTTAGAGGGTGTAAAATGGACGAGCTCCACAAAAGTCAATGGACCTCTGCTGATTTACACCAGATGTGAGTTTGATTAGCTTGACATTGAAAGCAGATACAGGTTCTACAGCAGATTGGTCTATGCAAAACCCCATGTATAAATAAAAACAGGATATAAGAGACATCGCCAGCTAGCTGACAGGTAGGAGAAATAAGTAGAAAGGATAACTTAGTAAGTGGAAAAGCAAGACTATTTAAGAGGGTTATTATAACTGTGGTGTACAGAGAGTTTAGCAGGGATCAAGTAGGTTATAATGCACCATGAAATCAATGTCCATATTAAATCCCTGGTTTTTACTATGCTATAAACTAATGATTTTTTATTCCCAGGTCCATCTTTTGTAAATGTTTTGTATATTTCCTTTGAGCACAAGGGCTGTGAGGTCAGAGGGGAGTATTTTTTCTGGGACAAATGGTCTCTTATCTGTGTTCTAGTATTTCTGTGCTTTACCTTTTTCCTGTGGTTATTCATTTTGCTATGTCATGTTTATCTAGTTTTACCCACATATAGTTTCCGCAGATTCTATCTGATGTGTAACCTAAGCTGTGTCAGCTTTTTTTCTCAGACATTGGAGGAAGGTTATTTGGTACCTAGACGCTTGTCTATATCTTTCCCATCTCTCAAGTTGGTGCAATAAAAGAGATGCACAAAAATCCTTGCCTCTCCCATTTTCCCTGGACCATCAAAGGCTTCAGCATCACCTTTACTTTTTCAGCCATTTCCCTGGACTTTTTATTCCTCATTTCAAAATTGGTAAGATCCTAAAAATGATTTTTTTTTAATAGCCTCGCTGTGTGATACAGGGACTAATCACTATTGGCTATCTCAGAAACTCGAAAGAATAAACAAGAAGAAAAACAAAGCCTCTGCTCCCTACCCCAGTCCAGTCTCTTCCCACGGTCCACACCAAAAATTACAAAACAGGTAAGAGATGGGGCCAAAGACCAGTTTATTAGTATAAGTTCTCCTGAATAGTTTCAATTAAACACTTGCCAACATTTCTGGAAATTGTAGCAAAGACTCCATGCTCGGGGTCCATGCTGAAGATTTAGGACCACCTTGCCACAGATGTCAAGGTTTTTAGGCCTGGGGAGACTGTGAGAGCATCCAGATTGTCCTCCCATGATAGCAAAGGCCACGCTCTTTGATACTATACTAAAGCAGATAATTTCCAGGTGCATGCAGGGTGCCTTTTAGAAAGACTGATCCAATCTTGACCCGAGTGCCAGGAACTCCAGCACGTTCTTTGGGAAACTGGCCCACCGGTTAATGCATTGCTCCGGCTGTAGGTCCTTCTCATGATCTGCTCTTTCTACAAACTTATGCTCTTTTAATGAGGCCTGCATTGTAGTACCAGCTCTAGTCAGCTGCCATTTAGCCATATCTACACTGCAGAGTATACCTGTGTCCTGACTTACACTTGCATGCAAGTGCTGCCTGAGCCCATCTCCAAACCGCCACGCTTCACAGCTGCACATATAACCCAGACCTACCTGGCTGCATCCAAAATTGTATGTGGATTTGAAATTACAATCCATCAGGGCCCATCCCAAGGTTCTTAGAGATTTGTACTGCACTAGGAATTGGCTCTTGGGAGATACTTGGAGAACTTATCTGTGCATTGGAAGGGGTTTAATACCCCTAATCTCCACAACACATGTAGTTAAGGTACTCATAACTGCCTGCTCCTCACTCCTGATTGCTTCAGGCAGATCTAACACTACAAGCTGCTCATGCTTGTGGCCAGACTTTCTGAACTCTTGCAGATATTTTGTGCCATGTTCTAGGGGCCATTTCAGCAGCAACTTCTGAGAGCCAGAAGGCACCAGCATTCAGAGAACACTCACATGGAGACATCCATCACCAACCACTGTCCTAGGAGACCAGGACTGGGAAGGACCTCCTGTGTCATTGAATCTAGGACCCTCATAATCTCAGGCAGCTATGTCAGATAATCCCTCCTGACTGTTGCAGACTCCCCATTCTTTCTGGTGTGGGAGAACGAGAACAGTGTGGTAGGACTGCACTGAGGAGCAGGACACTGACAACCTAGTAGAAACCCCCTCTGGAGCCATGTGAGAAGCTCACCCCAGCCCTTCAGCATCAGGACGTATGCAGACAGTGACAAGGTAGAGCCTAATCCGTTTGCTATCAACCGCATAGGGGCTGTGAGAATGGGGCCTATGAAGTAAATTGACATTGTTGGTTCCCGTTTATATTGAGCTCCGTCTTAGAAGTAGTCACAGTCTGCGTGCCACTGATCCCAGTGATGTGGGGCATGGTGGCAGAGAGGTTCATGCATCTTGCTACAGCTCCAGAGGTGTGAACTTGAGGCTAGTCCAGGCTCATGCCCAAGATTGGCCCCTATCAGTACAGCTGTGAACAGGCCCCTGGTCATTCAAGCTGGGGAGTCAAAGGTGGCCAGATGTGACACTAGCCACACCACTCCCTGGATGCTGTCTGCTACAGAAACTGGCCTGTCTTAGGTACCTCAGCCCCATACAAGTGGCTCCAGTGGGCTTGTCTGCACTGCAGCAGCTGTACATCCTTGCCAGGATGGGACTCAGCACTTCCTTCCCACCCGGGTCAGCAGGCACTTTCCACAGCCAGAAATAGGCCAGTAAGACCACTCCTGGTTTGTCCCAAGTCTGCCAGTGATTGAGGTCTCAAGAGCATCCTCACCAGCTTGGAACATGCCAGTGGAAAGAATCAAAAAATCAGAGAATACAAGGGCTGGAAGGAACCTTGAAAGATCATTGAGTCCAACTCCCTGCTCTAGGCAGGAATACTGCTGAGATCAAATGATCCCAGCAACATGTCTGCTTAGTCTCCTCTTGAAGACTTCCAAGGTTGGGGACTGCACCACTTTTCTGGGAAGTTTATTCCAGACTCAGGTCACCCTTACTGGCAAGAAGTTCTTCCTTACATACAACCTGAAAACATCCTCTAACAGTTTATAGCCATTGCTCCTTGTCCTCCCCCGGAGTGCCCTTGTGAACAGTTTTTCTCCCAGCTCCCGATGTTCACCCCTTACATACTGATAGATGGCCATCAAGTCCTCTCTCAGTTTTCGATTCCCCAGGCTGAACAGTAACAGATCCCTTAGTCTTTCCTCATAAGGTTTGTCCTCCAGGCCCTTAATCATTCTTGTGGCTCTTCTCTGCACCTGTTCAAGATTCTCCATGTCTTTTTTGAAGCGTGGTGCCCAGAACTGGACACACTACTCCAGCTGGGGTCTAACCAGCGCAGAGTAGAGGCTGTGCTGAGACCCATCCTGTCCAGGATATGCCACGATCATCGCATAAACTAGCCCAGTGAGATCTTGTGGCCTTGGCTCCCACTGGCTACTTAGGCACCAGGTGCAACAAGTGCTTCCTTGCAGGTGCTTTAAATACAATGACTTTTTAATTTAATTTTTTCCTGCTCTAAAGTTGCCTTTTGATCTACTCTCCAAATTACACATGAGAACAAGGTAATACACCCAGCAAATACAAAAGAAACAGTTTATTTGCTTTTCTTTCATTTTGTAGAAATAGCTCAATTGCATGGACAGACAGCTTTTTTTAACCAGATAAAAAAAGGTATATAAAAAATATTTCACATTCTTTTAAGACCTCTTTTTCTTTCCTTCCTCTGGGATTCTGCTTTCTTCTCACACCCTAGCTCTGGCACAGATCCAGTTCTTTTTGGTGGTACAGCTTGATGAGCCAATTCCTTCATCATTCAGATAGGCACAGTTTCCCCCACCCCTCACTTCAAGCCTGTGAAAAGTAGCCATGAAACAAGAAACAGTCAGTTGCCAAGGAATTTACGTGCACACACATGCACATGCAAACACACATGCACACGCACAAGAGCTCAAAAGCTTACAATGATTTGATGCCACCAGAGCAAACCCTTTTATGGATACTCTTACTTCAGTTTAAGGTTAGCATGGTTTGGGATAGTTTAACCCAGTTCCAGAGTGATTGTTTCCATTGGGATGATCAAGAAATTTAATCTGTATTCATTTCTAAAGTGGATTAGTGAAATTGCATGAGACACAGGCTGTGTTTATGCAAGATGCTGACTGTGCAGTAGCTCATTACTACTGAGCAGTAGCATTGCATGGCATGAAGCATGACACACTACTTCTGCGCAGTAGTAACAAGCTATTGCACACTCAGCATCACCTAAAGCCATTTGGCAACACTACTGCGCAGTAACTCTAGTTACTGTAACAACTGCACAGTCAGCGTCCTGTGTAGATGCAACCATTGTGTGGACAGGCTATCCAGAATTGGAGTGGCCTTCATTTAGTCTAGCTTGCTTCTTTCTTTTTTGGTACGAAGGCAACTTTTATTCTGAATAAGAGCATCCACACAGAGATTCAAATCTGTTTAACTAATCCACTTTAGAAATTAAAACAGATTAATTTTCCTGAGAATTTTTGGGTTGACAAATACAGGCAGGCACCTGTCTCAAGCACCAACTTGGTTAAATCTGTGAAAATCCTCATGTGGCCCTCTTCTGGGTAAAAGTGGCTTACTTGGGTTTGGTTTACCAATTTCTAAACAACTTAAGGTAAATCGAAACAAGCCCTTTTTAAACTGAAATAAGAGCATCCACACTGGCATCTACACCAGTTTAGCCACATCACATTAAATTCACACCTTTAGTTAAGCCAGGACAACTCTATATATGCCAACAAACCTAGAAGGAGACAGTGGGATTCTCTGCAGTGGCATACACTCTGGAAAAGCGGGTTTTAATTCCTGTATCCTGGATCTGCCAAGGCTCAACTCAGCCCTAGCCAGGGATTAGACTGCAGGGGCGGGCAATTATTTCGGGTGGAGGGCCACTTACTGAGTTCTGGCAAGCCATCGAGGGCCACATGACAGGCAACCAGAGGCAGATAAATATTAATTTTCTAAATTTTAGGGGCCTTGTGGGCCAGATAGAATGGCCTGGAGGGCCACTTCCACCTCGCAGGCCGCATTTTGCCCACCCCTGGATTAGAGCAACCTAACAGTAGTGGAAGTGGGTGAGTGAAGGGTGAGGCAGGGATGGAAAGAGGTTTTTTGTAACTGGATGTGAGTGACAGTTGGGAGGCATGGTTGGGATTGGCGGGAGGATTTGCTTATGTTGGGGTTTGGGCAGGGAGGGGGTAGCTGGGAAGAGTTGGCATTCTTGCATTTTGTGGTGCTATTGGGGAATTCTCTCTGCGGGTTATTCATTTACTGTAAACCACCCTGAGCCTTTTGGCTAGGGCAGGATATAAATCTAATCAATCAGATAATGGCTGCAGCAGTACAGAACGGCTGAGTAGTGCCACTCGACAGACCCCGCTTTCTGGTGTGCTTAAGAGCAGTGGTTTGGGGCATGTCTAGGGGCATCCTCACCACCATGGATCTGTGTTTGGCATGTGAAAAGAAGAAGTGGGTAGGAAACAGTCTCGAACAGATTGCAGAGCTCATGTGGATGTGGATGTTCCCTCATACATTATCAGGGATGCTCCCCATCAGCGTGACTAACATTGAACTACCTTACCCATAGTCCTGGGCCTTGTCTTCACAACACCCTGTTGGAGGGGTAGGGTTATGACCTGCCATGTTACATCCAGGGCTCCTCGGAAGTAGCCAGGGCCCCTTTGAAATGGGTCGGAGTGGGGATATCAGTTCCTTCGGGGTTCTGGGCTGGAGTGACTCCACCTCCAAGGGGCCTGTGGGTCACCTTGAACTTGAACCTGGATCACCCATGCCCTCTGAACTGACAAGGCTCTTCCTCCAGAGAGCAGCCTGTGCTCATAGCAGGCCAGTGAGAAGCAGGGGATATCTGTTTCCACCTTGGCCTTTCCTCTCAGTGGACATATTTTATCTGAATTCTTCCTTCCCGCTGTGTTTGCCTTTGCCTGCCCACCCTCCCGTTTCTGTGCAATGGCAGTGAGACGAGAGGTTGCACCTCTTTGCTAGTACCAGCACTAAGGGCAAAGCTTTCACAGCAAAGGGCAGGGACACTTGAGTCCAGAGGAGGGCTGGCCTTGTGACTGAACTATTGCTTCTGGACTCTGGGTATATGGGCTCAGTCTCTGGCTTGGCCAGAGGCTCTGCGTGACCTTGGGCCAGTCACTCCATGTCTCCATTTCTCCATTCATAACATGAGCTTAGCAGAATTGACCAGTGGAGGCAAAACTTGTTCATGGCTGCCAGGAGCTCAAAGACTGATGATGAAAGATGTAGCTACACAGGACATAGAGTAAAATATTTCCCGTGAGCCAATTTCATGAAAGTTAAAATAGCTTATCTTTATATTGGAAGTGTACTGTGACACACTCTATTATTCAGCTGGGCCATCTTGACAGCTGTTGTCAAACCAGAACTACATAAAATCAACTGAACTACATAAAACTGACTGGCCACACAATGTTCAACACAAGGTCCCCAGGTCCCTTGGCAGGGCGAATCCCCTGGTGATACACAGCCAGTGCAGCATGGCTGTGGTTGGCTGCTCTAGTGAGACATCATGACTGTCTTGCTCTCTTGATGGGGGTGGGGAAGGTCTCCACTGGGACATTAGGGTTGTATCTTCCTGCCCTGGCTGGAGGAGGCAGAAGGGAGCTCAAGTTAATATCTCTTCCATGATACACAACCATTAGCTATGCAATGCTTTCCCCCTGTCCAGAATCACGTTGTGGTATCAATAGGAGTTAACAACCTAAGTCTGGGTGGAGTATTGAGGATAACACACACCTTGACATGAGCAGATGGGCTGAGTTCACCCAAGCTGTTGATCGGTCTGGGCTCAGCACGTTCAGCACCAGTGACTTGATACTGAGAGGTTTTAGGGAAGGAAAAGTGACTCACTTGTTGTCAAACATGCTGCCATTGGCCCAGGTCCAAGCCTGGCCCGGCTCCCTCCAGAGGCCGATCCAGTGGTAGAGGATGCCTTTGTGATGAATCAGGAAGCTCTGAATGGACAAAGGGAAAAGCCTGTCTCCTTTCTGAACATTCAGAAGCAAAACCAGGGAGCTCATTACTCCTGTGCTGCAACCTCAGGATGCAGTGCAGGACAAGAGCAACGGGCTTACGGTGCCACGAGGGAGGTTTAGGTTGGATATTAGGGAGGACTTTCTTCGCCCTGCAGGAAGGGCAGAGCCAACTCCCTGGGGAGCGGCTGGGGTTGGAAGTGTCTAAGTGCAGGTATGACAGACACTTGGCTGGGATGGTTTAGACGGGGATGATCCCACTTTGTGCAGCAGGTGGGACTCAATGGCCTGCTAAGATGTTCTATGATTCTACATACGCCAATAGTCTCTGACCTCTGGATCCTAGATTTAGCTGTCTATTGCAGTGGCTGGGCAGTGGCAGTGCCCTCATCCCCCCTGCTTCTACTTATGGCTGTGGGGGCCAACTTTTTAGTGGGGGGCCAACACTTTCAGAGCTGTGCCACAAATTAGCTCTGCACCCTCCTCAAGTGCCAATCCAATTCCCTTCCCCTGCCCAATCTGCTGCTCTGCTTTCTGCTTCCTGCCCTACCTGCCACTCCCCAACCAGCTGGACACCACCTTCCGAGGCTGCCCAGGCCACTGGTGGCATCCATGCTGCAGGTTGGCTGTCGCCCTTGGCCTACAGCATGCTATGGGCTGTGGCTGGTGGTCCTGTTTCTGAGCTGTGTATGCCTGGGTGAGGGTTTCAAGTGGTGATTTTGGCATTTCCTTAAGAAAATGTTTGCTTGTAAATGCAGAGGACTGTATTTGATGGTGTAGGAGGCCCTTTTCACTCCCACGTTCCTATGCATCCATTGCTACATTTGGGATCAAGAAGGACTTTCACCCCACAGATCGCTTTCCTCTGTAGGATGGGGCATGGCCCTCTTCCTTGGTTCACTAGAGCGTATTTTAACAAAACTTCCTGTCATTGCAGTGGGAGGGGGGTGATAGGGCCCTCATCCTCCTACTTTACCTATGCCAAATTAAAAGGTGTTTCAGATATTTCAGGCAAACTCCTGTGGACTTTTAGGGTGCTTGTCCATTCCTATTTAAGAGTGCCATGGTTTGGTTTAATTTAACCCAGTTCCTGGTAGGTAAATGTGACAGCTGTCCCTGAAGTTTTAAGAACACATTTAAGCACCTGTCTAGGATCGTTTAGACAAGGAAGATCCTGCCCTGAGTAGGGGGTTGGACTTGATGTGACCTCATGAAGTCCCTTCCAGCTCTGTTTCTCATGATTTCATGATTTGACGCTGGGCAGCACACACACCACATGCACAGGCTTCAGTGATCTTGCTGAGCAGGGACCTCTGTGCCTCTGGGCAGGAAGAACCCTGCCCCCTCCATTGTACCAAAGTCTTTTTGGGTGCTGTGGTGAGAGGCTGCAGAAACAGGTGCTGAACAAAACCCCAACACAAGTGAGATGGACAATATTTGCATATTCCAAGGCTTTTGTTTAACTACTGTTGTACAGCTGGTTGGGGACTTCTTGTGAGCTATGAGTGTAGCCAGCTGGTCAGATTTCCAATTACGGGGTTTTTCTTAATATATTCAAGACATGGATATTTAGCTCCCCTCCCCCATGCTCTCACTTTCCTTCCAGCTCATGCACTGTTTTTCTTTTCTCCAGATCAGGGTGCCCTCTCCTCCATGCCTCCTCCCCCCGCCCCATTTTCCGCAGAGGCAGGGTAAGTTTCCTCCTTCCTCTGCAAGGCCTGCTTCTTCTCTTCCCCTGCACTGCAGCAGATACTCCGAATTTCCTGTGCCATTTCAGCACTATCTGAAAACCAGTCTAAGAGCTGTAACTAAGCCACTGTGAGTCACTGGTGCTGCCCTGTGCACACATGAATGTGATATCTGGAATAAGTACCTTGTAAAAAAAACTGTCCTTCTGAATGTACGGGGTTACAATTGCAGAAAAGCACTGGAGGACTGCCCATGCTTCTCAGTGTATGGTTGTGGGGATTGTGAAAGTCCTTGGAGGACCACCAGCAGTGAGTAACTGTAGCTTGCAGTCCTGCTGCAAAGTGTGTAGCCCAGCCACATCAAATGCAGAGCTGCTTTGTTAGCCCTACAGATCTGACAAATAATGTGTGTGGATGAGAGCTCAGTACAGTCAATACTCAAGTAAGAGCCTGAGCAAACTTTGCTGTGAAGACACCCCCTGAAACAATGAACCCAGGCACCTGCCCACGTGGTGTTCCTGGAACCCCATACTGAGCTGGGGAGGAGCCTCCTTTTCCAGGAGGTGAGTGGGCCTGGGGCAGTTTCTACTCAGCTGCCCCAGCCCTATGCAGAAGGATTCCTCCCACACAAAATTTGAGCAAGAGTGTGGCAATCACACGCTGGTCACAGAGACATCATCCCACTTGGAGTAGGGTTCAGTCATAGGCGACTGGTAGGGGAGACAGGGGGGGTGCATGTGCCCCCGCCCTGACAGAGCCATCCCCCACCACTGACAGCTTCTGCAGGTGCTCGCCAGCCCCGTCCCTGCCACTTCTGCTGGCAGCTTCTGCGGGTGCTCACCAACCCCGTCCCTGCCACTGCCTCTGGTTTCTGCAGGTGCCCGCCCAGACTCAGGAGACACTAGTTGCCCATGGGTTCAGCTGTCGAAGCCTCACTCACTTTGGCCTCCCAGCACGGGACAAAGCTAGACTCTTTTTCACCCGTCAGGGATGGGGTCCGAGTCCTGTCTGTCCACACATAGCCTGTTCATATCCTGCACAGTCTACTACAGACATGGAGCACCCAGGGCTCTCACCTTCTCATGCTCAGTGTCAATCCCAGCCAAGGTGGCACCTTGTGAGGCACAGAGGCTCTGGCTGTTGTTCCAGGTCGTTTCATTCTTTGAGAAGAAGTAGCATTTCCCTTGGTACCCGAGCCAGTCATCTGGGCAAGTGGCTGCAGCAGGGAAATCTGCACGGTCCAAACACAGCTTCGCATTCATGGCTGAAAATGATGACATAACATGAGATAAAAAGCTGCTCTCCTGTTCTGTATCTCAGATCTGCAGATCTATGTTGGTATGCATGTTAAAGGACTGAGAAGTCTTTGGGCTTGTTTTAACTCAATTTTAACTGGTTAAATGTAATGGGCTTGGTGAGTTAGGTGTTGTGTGGGGGACCGTCCCTTGCAAAATGGTAAACCATTGGAAGGGTAAAAGAAAATTGGGAAAAAAGGGGCTAAGGTCAGCATTTGTCACCATTTGTGTGGAAGTCTAAGTGGAGGGACCTTCAGATCCTGAGTGACCAGGAGGCTTATGGGACAAAACAAACAGAATTTACCTTTGGGAACGCCACTGAAATGCTATTTATTTACTTATTTTTGGATGTCACATCCCAGGCCAAATCAGCCTAATCAGTTCTAAAGTCTGTCCACTGAGCAGAGGTCAATCATTCAAGTGTGTGTGGTGCTACCACCAAGTATCCTCCCTCCCAGACTCTCCAGCCTGGGACTTCAGATATTCTCAAATCCATGGCAGGCTTCCTATGTGCAATCCCCAAGCCCAGAAGCCTTGGAGTCCAGATGCCCCCTGGTCTTTCTTGGCCCTGGCCAGAAGGCCGAAGGAGCTAGCTAGAGGGAAAGCCTGAGACCAATCCCCCATCACCATAGATTATGTAGCCGGGATCCTCCCACTGGGAGGTTATAGTAGACTCTGGCTGCGGGGCCTGCCCGCAGTGCAATGGACAGGTCTCCACCCTCTGCTACACCAAGTCACTCAAGGCTGGGAAGATGGGGATCTCCCCAGCCAGGTCAGTAAAACCATCATCATGGTATCTCCAAAGAGACAACTAAAAGGCAGTACTAGTGGGACAATAATAAAGGTCCCTACAGAGGAACCAGATTACAAGGCACACGATCGCTGCAGGGAGACCTGCCAGATAAGTATCAAACCTCACCGGAAAGAGTATTTATAATTTACTAAGCCCTGTACTGGGTCCAGGTTAAGACCTGCTATTTGCTTGTTGCTAAATAGCGGAAAGCTCTGTAGTACTTGCAGGTGCATTTTCTTACAGTGGCCAGCCTAGAGGTCTCTACCCACTGGATCCTAAAAGGGCCAAAACCCTTGATCCTGTTCAAGATCCAAAGAGCTGGGTTGCATTGGCAACTGGAAGTAGAGCAGCCTCCTCTGTTGATGTGGAGCAGCACCAGCAAAGTAGTGCCCTCAAAGGTGGTGCAAAGCAGCACCCTCTGACAGCGGTGTGGTACAGTGGCTCTGGTAAAACAGGGCCACCAGTAGCCTTAAGGGGAGGCAAAGGCAGCTGTGGAGTAACACCCCCAGTGTTGGGGAAAAAGGGGGCTAAGGTCAGCATTTGTCACCATGTGAGGCACAGAGACAGCAGCAACAGAGCAGCACCCCAAGTGGTGGCAAGAAACAGCGGCAGCAGCAATGGAGCAGTGCCCTGCGGGGGCAGTGAGGAGCGGTGGTGGCAGTGGAGCCATGACTGCAGTAGCAGTGGGGTGACGGGAAATGTTGGGGCTAGAAGCTACATTGGCTCTACTGGCTACCAAATTCACCCTGCGTGGAACTGAGACCTAGCTCTGATCGTACTGACTGAGATAAGCTGTTAATAGTCGGTTGAGGCAGGCTACTGATTATTAAAGGTTTCCCAAGACTGCCTGTTTGCCCCATTTTCTTTCCCTCTTTAAAAACCCTGGTGCAGGTTTAATATTGTTGGCGAGCGGGGAAGTTTGTTCGCATTGGAACACCAAGGTAGCTTTTATTTTCCCAGGTTTCTTAGTGGGGGCTCGAATCAAGATAGAAAATTTGTGTAATCCCCCCCCCCCACAGTTGAACTTGGCTCTTGTTATGGCTGTCCAATTCCTAGCAGAAGGGTTACAAATAATCCCCTTGGCTCCAGGTCACAGAGAATCCCCTTGACGGACTATGGCAATTGCCAGGGGGAAGGGGGAAGGAGGCTAGTAGAGGCTGAAGCTTTGGTGAGGGGCAGTTTGGCCCCCTTGTCTTTTTCCAGCCTGTCCTAGTTGGCTGCTGGATGAAAGAAGGCGGCAAACTTACCTGTCTTCTCCTCTTCCACAGCAGAACCAGTCAACATTTTCATTCAAACTCTTTCATTTTCCTCCCATAACCAGAAACAGTCAGAAAAACTTTGCTCATGGGTTTTCTTTTTTTCCCCAAAAATGTTCTCATTTTTCCTTGTCATTGAAACAGATCTTTCAAAACTTGTTTAATTCTGAAATTTAAAGACCTGTTTTTTTGGCACTCTCCTCTCTTGTCTTGTTGCTCCTGAGTGCACCAAACAGAGCAGTCTCTGGGGTTTGCTCTTCATTGTTCTGTTTCCCTTCCTCCTGCCCCATCATTATTTTTCACCTTTACTGCTCTGCAACTTTTTAAAACTTCTGCCATGGGGGAAAAGTCACAGAGCAGTAAAGGGACAAAGCAACCCCCCTCAACTTGAAGGCATTTAAAAATGTGCAGGGAAGTCTTTCAAGAGGAAACCAAAAGAAATGAGTAAGAATAAGCCACTTTGAACATCAATAGCATAACTATGGGAAGGCAAACGTGGTGGCCACAACACTTTCACCGCAAGTATCACCCCAGCAGCATCTCCTATATGGGGGGTCAGCACTCAACTCCGGGGCCTGTAGCCCCAGGCTGGCTTCTCCCAGCGCTGGCATCTATAACCACCCCAGAGCTAAACAGAAAAGGCCAAGAGTCAGAGAGCCTTGCACTCACCTGCCAGCACCACTGCAGCAACTGCAAGGCCTGTTGTGAAGCCAGCAGCTGCAGCTGCTATGAGGGTCCTTCGTGCTGCTGTCTTCCTGAACTTGTAACCTGAAAGAGGCTCAGGTGTGAACATGCAATGGAAGTGGAGCCCAGAATTATTTATCTTTGAATTATGGGTCAGTGCAAGGACAAGGGATGGCTGGTACATCCTGAATTCAGGGCCTCAGAAGAACCTCCCTGCCCTCAGCAAAAGGCAAGTAACTCACACCTGGGCTGGTCAGTGTATGGGGCTCTTCCAGGCCTTCCCTGAGCTGACTTCCCCAGGCTGGTGCCTGAGGCAGCTGAGTGGGAGATTGAAGGGAGCCCAGAGCAAAGAGCCACATGAATAGGCCAGCTGCTCCTTGCACAGCTGTTCTGGTGTGTGCATACATGTGTGTAAACCTGGAGCTCTGAATTCCCACGTATCTCACACAAACTAGCTGGGATACGCGGTCCTGCTGGTGCTCTGGAGAGAGTGAGTGAGGGTGTCAGAGGCAGCCCTACAAAATACCCTGCACCCCACAACATAATTGGGATGTTACAGGCCCATACAGAAAATAGCAACTGTGGACACAAAACCAGGATCCATTCCTACAAGAATCTGTGAGTGTAATGGGGTCCCCACTACTTTTCTGGCCAAAAGTTTGCACTGTATCTCAAGTGCCAGACATAGCTTTCTCCATATTTTTCTCCAACATCCCCCAGGAAGGGGAAGAAGAGGACAGATACCTGGTTCCTCTCTTTGCTCTTGCCTTCCTGGGTGGTGGAGGGATGGCACCTTGTGATGTTTCACTTCCAAGGGACACAATCCACTCCTTGTGGCTTCTCCCTCCATGACAAGCTGGGAAAGGGGGAAAACCAACAATTCTGCTTGAATCTCTTTTTTAATCTACTGCGTCTACCAGGAATACTCAGGATGACTGTAACTGAAAGAGAGAAAAGCCTCTGATTTTTTGCTTGGTGTCTCTGGCAGCAGTCTGTGGTGTGATTGTTTATTTTCTGTATTACAGGAGTGTCTAAAAGCCCCTGTCCATGCTCAGGACCTTATTGTGCTAGATGCTGCACGTACAGAACAGAAAGATATTCTTGACCCACACGGCTCGCACCTGGAGGCCCCAACCATGGACAGAATGAAGCACATATTTTGCTTTGCACACTGTGATCCAGTCCCTGGCCATCAATGTTCATGCACATGCATCTCTCCAGGATCAAGATCTACGTATCAGACAAGAGGCTTCCAGTGAACATGCCAGGCAGATGAGTCTGCAGTGCCTGGAAATTACTACGATTTTTGCTGTTTCTCTTCTGTATTCATTTAAATCCCCTAGCTGTCTCATAGTGGGGTTTTATTCAGCAAAGATGGAAAGAGAAAAACTTCTAAAAAAAACCCAGGCAGATGTTTAAAAAAAAAAAAAAACCTGGCAGGGAGTGTGTGGGGGAAACACATGCCCTGCAGCTGCTTCTAACTCATTTACTGACACTTCAGGCTGATGGTGCCTGAAAAATTCATTTCCCCCCGTCCTGCATTTGAGTGATAAACCACCACCAAGGAGCTGTGAGGACAAACTGTCAAGTCCAAATCAGTAGAGCTGGAAGGGCTGGTCTGAAACCCAGCCTGTCAGGTGGGAAATCAATAAAGGGAACAGCACAGTGAGGATGAGAAGGCTGTGATGGGAGGGTGAGGAGATGAGGCATTTTTAGAGGGATGGGAAATAGAAAGCGGGGGTCTGTTCCTGGCAGAGGAGCCTGAAAGCGTCTGGAGCAAAGTTAGGTCCTGAGATGAGTCAGGCTGGGTCCTAGTTTAGTAGTTGCTCCATCCTAGTTAAGCTCTCCTTACTCGGGGTCTGGCCCCTGCCACTCTTCCCCCTCCTGCCCGAGAATCCATCTCTCCTTCTGTCTCACACAAGCTACAATGCCAAAAGTTAGCTTAGTTTGGGAGGAAGGACCCAGTTTATTCCTGTTCTTGAGCTCCTTGATGGGATAAAGCTGGTTTAAGAAACTCTTTCTCTGAGCCCTTCTCCATGCCCAGGGGCTCTGAACACTTGGCCCTCATTGAAATCTCCCTCCCTCCTTTCCCCCAGTTAATCCGCATCAACCCCCACCTTTCCACACCCCCCAGAGAAGCAAACTCACCAAGGTCCTGTGCTCCAAAAAGAAAGTAGAGCTGAAGGCTTTAGAGCCACAGACTGGAAACTCCACCCCCTTATTTGGCAGAGCTCAGAGAGGGAGGGGAGAAAGGTATCACTTTCTGGAGAAGACAGACCCTGGGGCTCTAACACATTTGGTTTTGACTCCCTGCACAACTCAGGGCCGGGACAAGTCCACGTGGCAACTGACAATTTGACTCCGATACATGAAGGCAAAACCATCCTGGGTTTAATGGAGTAGCAAGGTCTCTGGGAGCTGGCTTAGTCTGGCCACACGTCTCTGGCACTGCATCTTCCCTCCTGTGGTAACCTGTGCTAAGCTAATTTAAAAGTAAGCATGGGGTTCCCACCTGGATGCTGATCCTCTCCCTATATCCACCACCACCACCCTGCCTTTCTTTGCTGAAAACATACCCTCTGCCTGGAAACACAGATCATTTATATCAGTGTAACTTGCATCTGTTTTGTATACCAGTGTAAATTATATCAGGGCTTGGAGCAGACAGACGTGCAACTATTCCGGAATAGCTGTCTGCAATTAATGGTGTCATAGCACCTTCCCTCTAGACAACATCGGATGTGGTAACAACCTGTCAACCTGTTTACAGCAAAAAAAACTGGCCCCAGAGAGCCAGAGACACGCCAGTTATATTAGTATATCTTCAATAGAGTCTCTCTCGTCCCCCTCATTCCTGATTTATCCCAGGGTAATTGTACGCCAGATTTAAATTATATCAGTGTGAGAAATAGCAGCAGCATGAGCCTGGGGGTTTCCAAACAACAGAAACCTCAAGTGGGAAAGTGAACATTGCCATTTCAAGTTGAGCAGAGGGACAAACAAACACTTGTGATTCATGATTGAGGTTTCTGGTATTAGATAGAAAAGTTCCATCAATGCGGCTGGCAGGCCGCAACATGGTATTAAAGAGCGCGCACACTGCTTGAACTCCATTTTTATTTTGTTTTTACTTTCCCTTATTTTTCAAGTTGGGGAAAGAAACAAACCAGGGGGATGGATAGAGAAAAAGAGAGAAAAGAAGGCTGGGAGAGGGGCTGAAAAAAGGAGAAGCAACACTGGCCTGGTGTCATTCTCAGGTTTCAATCACAGGGATGAAGCGAACAATGTATTTTTCAAAAAGAAACCAGAAGCTTAAAAAGGAACAGTATCAGCAGAATTGAAAACATTCAGTGCAATTTTTGGAATGAACTGAAAAGCCATTTTCCACTGACCTAAGGTGGCACAAAGCTCTGCTTCATTAATACCTTATGGGTGCAGATCAGTTATGTGAAGAGGCATAGAGTAGGGAAATGGTTTATCCAGGGTTACACACAGTCAGGCTGAGACTAGAATATAGGGGCTCAACTCTCCTTTTCCGAGCAGCAATGAATCTCTGAACATGAGTCCCTCACTCCTTCTCTAATCAGAGCCACCCAAAGAATGAGCCGCGGGACCGGTGTATCTAGAGAAGCTGTGGGTAGTTAATGTTGTGAAAGGTCCAGAACATGGGATGTCTCATCCATGTGATCATGGTGCATCCAGCTGTGTCCATTTCTGCAGGTGAAGCAGATTTCACCTTTGTTCCTACCCACAGCAAAGAAAAGTGATGCTTTGAAGTACATGTCTTGAGTTCCTCACACTGAGGGGCTTCCCCTGCTGCTTCTGGTTGAAAACTTGTTGAACTGCACGTTTGAAGAGAAATGCCAACCACATCATCCATTCAAAATGTTCTGAAAAAAGCTGCCAACACCCATGATGTTTCTAAAAGATTCCCTTTATTTAATGGTTTAGACGTTTTGTTCTGGAAAAAAAAAATACTTATTTTTTGATACCCGTTAGCAGAAAACTCACCAACAGCCCAGATTTTACACAATCCTTTGGATAAAAAGGGTACCAGAACATGGGTGCCCCCTTCTCTAAATCAATAATTGGGTCCATGGCTGTGGATACATCTACACCCTGGCCAGGATGCTCTCAAGCCTGCCCCAGTCCTTCTCATACATGCCAACCTCAGAAGCGTGCCATATAGAGGCTACTGCAGGCTTTTCCCTCTGCAGCCCATCTGAGGCCCTCTGCCTCCAGGCTGCTGCAGATTGTCTGTTGTGGACAGTCCTGGAGTGGCATGTCTAAATTTGGAGAGTTGGGCTGGGCAAATATTGGGAACGTCCTGGCCAGGGTCACACTGCTGCGGTGATGTGAATGCACCCAGCACATGTGTGTGGATCTCTGTGCTTGAGACTCTTGCTTAGTATTAGCTTGTTTTGTGGCTTACACAATGTAGGTGTTGTTTCGTGATGAGCCATTCTGCAAGACTAAAGCATAATTAACACTGTTTATCTGTGCCCAATTATTCACTCTGATACCTGAGCTGCAGTATTACAGAATCTTGTGTGCATCTGACACTTGCTTTTGGAAAACCACATTGCTTTACAAACAACATGCATATGAGATTCGCAGCGATTAGACTGACGCCTTCAACAATCAAGCAAAGGCTGAGTGAGAAGTAAAAACTAAATCATAGACAGTTATTATATGGCAGTAATAGAGATCTTAGCTGGATACTTTCAGGTTTAGGAGGCGAAGGGATTTTTAACGCAAGTTGTTCATATATTTACTTGCGTGCTTGCTGGAGTAAGTGTGAACCTCCTTTCAGGCTTGTCATTTTTTTCATTATCTATGTCATGGCAGAGGATGTGCCTGGCTCAATGATGCGTAACCTTTTAGAGCCACAGCAATTAACACTGCCATCACTCCCCTGCCACCAAATTTCTGGACCTGTGTGGAGCCCTGTAGGCTGAATGACATGGCCCCCTGAGCGAAATCTGGCCCGCGGGCCAGAGGTTAAGCATCACTGATCTAACTCGGAGACTTTCTTCATTAGTCTGTGTTTTCCAAATATGGGCATCTGCTGGAGAGAATGACTGTAGAGATGAAGAGAAGGCAGACTTGTTCTCAGCTCTGCAATGGTAGTGCCAGAAAGAAACTGCTCTGCTCCAAAAACAGCACCTAGTAATCTCTATTCATATAAATGCAAAACAGAGTGAAGACAGATAAGGTTCTTTAGAAAAGGTCATATTGTCAGTATTGGCTGTGCTGCTCATGCCTATGCAATGCTACAGGTGCATGATAGCTTTGGCTTTCAATGTAAACCTCAAAGTGAAACGCACTCTGATTTGCTTGTGTCAGCTTTGAAAACTGGACTTTGTAGTCTGAAAAGGCTGGCCCTCTGTCTTCTGTGACTGTCCAATTTATCCCTAATGGAACAGCAAATCTCTAGAGATCCCAGGATCTCTGCTTCTAACACTTAAACATGATGGTGCGAGCGAGATGCCGGTGTCTTCTGATTGCTGTACTTCTGCCATTGGAGTATGATGAGTGGATGGGCAAAGCATATTTTTAATGGGACTTCAGACTGACATAGAGCCTATGTACACACATTCTGTGTGTGTGCATGTGTATGTGCATATAAGGGAAGGTCTCCCCTTCCAGTTTTGGCAGAAGACAGCATTTTCCCACCTCCACCTCAAAGAGATAGGCTGGTTATTCTCTCAGAATCATAGAAAAGTGAGGCAAAAAGGGCCCTCCGGATGGCATCTTGTCATGAGTCCTGCTCAAGGCAGGATCACCTCTGTCCAATTGTAAGTAAACTTCCAGTGAAAAACAGGGATGGGAGAGGTGGTCACAAGTTAACAAAAATGGTCCAAGCAGGGACACTGAGCATACAACACTGGGCAGCACCGACTTCTCAAACATGTCCAAGGAGCCTGTGAATGCTCCCCAGTGAAATTCTGCCCAAAGGCATGCACAAAGGAGTGACAGGAAGACTGATCCACAGTCTTCAGGGTTTCACCAGGCCAGACCCTACTTCCTGGTCTGGTAGATGCTGAGTTTGGCCAGGGCCAGGAGGAAGCTGATCAGGAGGTCCCAGGACTTGGTGGGGCTGTGGATGGAGAGTGTGTAAAAAAAGAGGTACAGGGGGAAGTGCAGGGGGAAGAGGCTCCTGAGGAGGTGGTGTAGGGGTTGCAGCCTGGCACACTCAAGGCACACATGTGCCAGGGACTCCCTCTGCTGACAAAAGGGGCAGGTGTCAGGGATGTCCATGAAGCACACCATATACACTCTTGCGGAGGTGGCTCCATGCCGGTGCCCAGACAAGCCCAGGAAGAGGCCACCTTCTCACAGGTCTATACTACCCTCTGCTAGGGAATGTCTACAAGATAGACTGGAGTGTCAGGTAGAGACCCCTGAGCTGGCTCTAAATCCACTGGGGTGGATTCTGGAAACAGTCTAGCCATGGTAATCCAGGGCTCTGCAATGACTAAGTGATCCAGCAGAAAAATAGATTAAAACATCACATGCTGAGTTCTGACATGTTGTGGTTATTCTGTTTTTGGAGCCCAGACTTGTGGCTTAAAGCCAGCCCAGGTATGTCTAGTGCCTTCAGCGTCGACATGGCCTCAGTGGTGAGACGACTCCGTTCCCCTTTTATTCTCTGTGGTCACATATTTTTAACCTGTTATGCAAATGATAATGAATCACTATAACTTTGTCTGTCCTTCAACCACTTTTTGTGATTCTAAAATTTCTCCCCTATTGTGAATGAAGTCAGGGAGGGAACCTATTTATTATTAAAGAATAGAATGAGTGTGCTCCATGTCTCTGAGAAAAATAGCAGTCCCCCAGACTAAAATGAGTTAATTACTTTGAGTGAAAGTTCATTCAGAAATTAGCTTCTGAAATGTTTAAGAAACGACTCTTAGTGTAAAGGAACTTGTGGTATGCCTTTAAAGTTTTGAGTCTTCTACTGGTGCTCACCATGTTCTGCTTTCCAGTTCTCCAGAACCCTGCCTAAATACCAGTGTGTGCAGCTACTTAGACCCTGAATTTTTATATGGTCAATCAACTGCATGATTTGACCCATGTGATTCTTTCATATTATATACATTATCAAAGTACAAGACATGGTACTCCTCTACCCAACAACTGATTGTTACCAATCATTCAGCTGTTAAAATTAATTGCACACTGTGGGAAGAAGCTCCATGTGAGGTGATAAGGGTGCAATTAAACC